TCCCTGATCTCCTCCTCTTTTTGAACGTAGAGGAGTTTGAGGCCGTCCCTCTCTTCCACGAGCTTCTTGATTTCGGCCTCGCATCGGGCAAGCTTGGCTCAAGACTTGGAGAAAGCTTGTCGATGGAGCATCACATCCTTCCACAAAGGAAAAAAGTCAGACTCGAAAAAACGAGAATAAAGCACAAACATAATTATGGAGGCAGAAACTTACTTGTTTAAGAAGACGCTGAGCCTCGTAGAAAATAAATGAAGCATCCGAGTCGGGACCATCTTCGACCCCCGCAAAGCATTCCTGGAAAATATCACTCCCTTCATGGGTCGTCCCCACGTCGGGAGTTTTCATGGCCCGGGCATCTCAGAACTGCCCTTCGAAGAACACAGGGCTAGGCGGTGATTCATCTATGTTAATTATCCCAAGTGATTCACTTGGGACATTCTCTTCCCTTTGGAGGGCCTCGGAATTAGGCTCTTCGGGTCTGCCCGCCAGATGTCCACCAAGACAAGGTGCACTTTTACCGCCCGATGGCTCGGGACTCTGCTCGAGCTCCCCTCAGAGAATTTTTTGGTTAGATATTGAACTTCATCAGCTGCCGCCAGTTCAGCGGCCTTCAAAACTTCAGTGCTCCCCCTCTTCCGAGCTACTAGTAAGTAGTCGACATCCTCTCCTTCTTCCTCGTCATCCCAAAGGTGTTGGACCGCTTCTGCAGATAGGGCTGCGGGATCGCCTAGGCTTTTGAGCCTTATTTTTCTTGGGCTTCAGGGAACTTGTTGGCGAAGCTCTTTTCCTTTTCTTTTCTTTGGTTGGCTTCGGTATTTCCTCTTCACCAGGCGGTGGCGGCCTCATAACAACAGTGTCTGCGAGGCCTGCGTAAGGGGAAAGTAAGTATTTTACAGAGAAGGGTCAACATATGAACAAGGGAACTCACCATGGTTCTTAGCTTCCCACCGACCATTGGCCAAATCACGCCAACAACGTTTTGCATGTGAAGAAGTGGAGGTCAGTTGTCGAACCCAACCTGCGAGATCCGGAACCGCACCAGGAAACCAAGGGGAAGCTGCACCATCGAAAAAGAATTAAATCGAAGAAGAATAGAGAAAGCAGAGTAGTAAGCGTCATCGATGGGGTTGTACTTACTTTCATGTTCCAGTCCTCGGGGAATGGCATCCTTTCGGCAGGAATTAAGTTGGAGGTCTTGATTCGGACAAACCGGCCCATCCATCCTCGATCCTTGTCCTCATCGATGCTAGAGAATAGCGCCTTCGTGGATCGACGCTGGAGCTTTATCAAACCACCTCGATAGAGGCGAGGGATGTATAGCCTGATCAGGTGGTCGAGGGTAAAAGACATCCCCTTGACCTTGCCCAAAAAATACCTGAGAAAATTGATGATGCGCCAGAAAGAAGGGTAGATCTGGCCAAGGGTCACCCGATATTGGTGACATAAATCGAGAACGACTGGATCTGCAGGACCCAGTGTGAAAGGATAAGTATACACGCTTAAGTATCCTTCCACATGAGTGGTGATGCCCTCTTCGGGGGAAGGAATCACCACCTCCTTATCCTCCCATTTGCAATCCTTTTTCACCTACTCAAGATCGTCTTCAGTTATCGAGCAGATGTATCGGGACATGGGCTCGCATCGTCCTGGAACTGATGCAGGCTTATCGATTTTGAAATCGGAAGATAGCTTGCATGGCCCAGGAATGCACTCTTCGATACGAGGTGGCACCGTCGTTCTACCACCGGCTGGTCGTGATGATGAGGAGGCTTTTTCTTTCTGAGGAACGGTCTTAGATGATTTATCCATCGCTGTTGAGAAACTCAAAAGAAAAGAAGAAGTTGATGTTGCAACAAGCGCAAAATGAAGGAAGGATGAAGTCAGAGAAGATGAAGAAGCTGGTAAGGATTTGGGAAAGGTTTGAGAAGTAAAGATTGTAAAGGTTGTGAAATTGACCTATTTATGGTGGCCGCTTCAACGGTTTGGGGAAGCCAATGGCCGACCATCAGCTGCCTTCGGTTAATGACCTTGGGAACTATGCAGACGCGACCTTTCAATCACTTTTGTCGTTGACGTTACGGGATTGACATCATGATCGAGGCATCAGGGGATCGAGGATTAAATTGTTTCTTATCATCTTACTCTAAAAAACGCGGGGACTATCTGTATACGGTCGAAATCGGGTATGCCCGATTCCGTGGGCTCGAGGGTCACTTCGCGAACAAGTTCGAAATGGACCAGGCGCGAGCCCGATGGCGAAGTACAAGATTCGAAGATCAGAGTGCTCGATGAACACCGAGGCCACGTGTGACCGATCTCGAGATAATACCGTTATGGTTTCATAACGAAAATAGCGAGATTTCTGTAGTGGCCCTAAGATCATGACGTAAATTCCGGAACGGGTTTGTACTAGGCGGTTAGACAGCTTTATAATAAGATTCCTTACTATAGTTGGAAGTGTACCTTATTTAGGATTCCCCTACTATATAAAGGGGACCCCAATCATTTGTAACGCATCAATCATTAAGAAGAGAATATACATATTTCACTTTCTTGCTTGCTGTTCATCTGACTTGCCTTATTATTATTCTTATCCACCTACCTCGAGGTCGCCCTTGTTCGAAGTCAAGGTCTGCTTATACGTTGGTTTGACTTACTTTACTCTTTAAACTTATGAATCATATTCCTTGTTTATCAATTAGTATTGGATTGAATCACGTATCTTTAAAACCACAATACAAGTTTAATTGTTACTCGGATTTTAGGGTAAACAAAGTTGAAGTTGAAATTAATGATAAAATTTATAAAATATATATCGATTTGCAAATTATGTGTGTGTGTGTGTTTTTTTTTAGTGTGTGTGTGTGTGAACGGTTAATTCTTCATTTGTTTCGGTTTTTCCTTCAGTAAATTTCAATTCAATAAATAATTAGAGTGGATTCACCATGAAAATTACACTTGTCGTCCTCGGAGAAAAAAAAGGAATACGAGATTAACGTTTACAATATATCCAATATGGGTTAGCCACGTGATTAAGGAATTATTACAATTCAATTAAGTCACCTTTCATTCATTTTTTCCTTATTAGAATTCAATTAAGTCAACTTAACCTTTCATTCATTTTTGCCATGTGAATGACCCTATCTTGTATTTAAAGGTTTTTTTTGTGCTATAAACTAGGGGTGTAAATAGATCGAGTTGGTTCGGATTTTTTAATTACCAAACCAAACCAATTGTATCGGGTTATTAAATCTAAAGATCGAACCAAACCAATAAAAATCGGGTTTTTCAATCTCGGGTTTTCTGTTTTTTTTTTCCATAAAGTTTTCATAGCACAAAATATAGAATTTGTGCTTTCTTTAATCCTAGTAAGATAGAACTATATAATGTATTTTTGAATAAAATAACATAAATATGAGATGAATCATGGCTTGTACTAAAATATTCAACAATAAAGACAATAAAATCGCATAAAATAAGTATAATTAATTAGCCATAATGAAAACAAACATAATTTAAAATTAATAATAAGTTGCTAAAATTAGTACGACTGATAAGTACTATTATTTACATGACTAAACACTAAAAGAAAAATAAGATTATTATGCATTTTATCTAAACCACGGAAAAACTTTAAAAAATAAATATCCAACACTATTTTCATTTATCGTACAATTGAATTGAATGTCTTTTATTAGCATTAGTATTAATTTGATATTGGTTTAGGATTTAATTGAGTTACTAACATTTATGAACTATAAAACTTATTGGATCATCCAAAAGTTATAAGTAAGCTTGAAATAATACGTGAAAAGATAAAACTATAAAAAAGTTTAAGAAATATTTATAAACTACACTACAATAAATATTTTTATGTATTAAATATATTTAAAACGTCTATAAATATAATGTTCGGTTGGTTTGGTTTTGGTTTGACATTTTTTAGTTAAAATCAAACCAAACCAAACCAAATATGGACGGATTTTTTTTACCAACACCAACCCAAAGCAAACCAAACTATAGTCGGATTTTTTCTCGGGTTATCGGGTTGGTGCAGTCTGTCGATTTCATTTGTACACCCCTAATATAAACCATGTTGAAAAAGACCGTTCTCCAATATAGAAATACCACATAAGACCTCCTTAGTCTGTCCTGCCCCTAGTTCAAATACCATTTTATCCTAACTCGCTATCCCCTCACATCATATTTTCGAGAAAGAAGAAATAAGAATTGCTTGTCAAGAAAAAAAAGGGAAAAGATGGTATAGATGGTATAGATGGAAATCCACCTTAGATAAAAATCCACTTAGAAGATATTTTTATATTTTTTGGGTGGGAAAGATGGTATAGATGGAAATAAAATGTTCAGAGTTTACCTTTGGGGTGGCAGGGGCGGAGAGTGCCGTCAGCGGGTTCGGCCGAACACAGTAGCTTTGATTCAAACTCTGTATTTGTCTTAAAAAATTCATTGAATTGTATAAATTATTAAGTTAGAACCCAGTAACTTAAAACGATTAGAATCCCGAACCCATAAACTTGAAATCTTGGCTCCGCCTCTATGGGGTGGTGACCTTGAAGTCAATAATGGATGAAAAATATGGAGAAGAAGGCCTCTTTTCGTTGATGAAGACGATGATAGCGTGGCAGAAATCTATTTGACGTGGATTTAATGTGTTATTTACGTAAGATAGGGGGTGTTTAAATAGTAATCTTGAATATATTCATGTGTCTCACTCGTGAAGTTAGAGGGCTAGAATAGAGTTCCATACAAGTATGAGGTGTTGTGTTTATCTTCCTATTAAACCTATACCAAATGATAATTGAAGAATTAGATTGATACAAAACGTTACATCAAAGTGTAAATTCGAATCTTTACTTTCTCTTAATCAATTTAGTTTACCTGTGTTAAGTTTGTCTGATAGTTCAAATTCAGACAAACTAAGAGAGATGAGGTTTTCTTCTTGTATCCCCAAAAAGAGAGAAAACAAAAGGGAATAGAAGAAGAGAGGAAATTTACAATTTCATTTCTTTCTAGATACTGTACAAACAACGATAATCCAACTTTGATTCAAGCAAATGATTTCTCTTCATTCTAGATCAAGATAAATATTATACATCAAAATCTCTTCTTAGAAGAGCTTAGCCCAATAAAGCAAGTTCAGAGTATTTAATTCTCCCACCAAATCTTATGTATAGTATTAGTAATTCAAGCTTCAGCCTTCCAAGAAGATGAAATATCCGCCACAGCTTCAGAAACTGTTAGATATAATCCGTCTAATCCAAAGGCCTCAAGAGCATGCGAGTTATGCAGCTTTTCCATAACGTTTCCAACCGGATTTGCCAGCACGAGCTGAAGCAGTATACATCGAAGCATAAACGAGCAAGAAAAGAAAGGATAACGCCATTCTGCAAATAAAAGCTTGACACAATATAATTGACAGAATGTTTACCTTAAGTGATCTTTTCTCAAGTATCCTTCTGAGTTCACATATTGTATCAATGCCACTAGTGTCTATAGCTGTCACAGCTGCAGGACGAAAACCCCATAATTTCGTTATTAGACGTGCAGATTACTGGTGAAAGAAAAACATGAGAAGATGTTGTTTTCTTTTTTCAACAAACCTGTCATGTCAAGAATTACACATTTGATTGCAGTTTCTTTTTTGACTTCTATCCTCTCTTCCTCTTCCCGAATCCATCTCAATGTCCTGTAATTACCATTGGTTGATACAACTCTGATGTAGCAAATATTTAACAACTTTACAACTTCACTTGTTATCTTTGAAAGTTAAACTTACCTTTCTTGTAGGTAGGTAGAATTTGCAAAATAGAAAGGAGCCTCAACAGCTATAATAAGGAAAGAAGGAATCCTAACAGCTGCGCTATATCTGCTTAGGCTTTGAAATGATTGAGTACCAGGAATGTAGCCCAAGACATTAGTATTTGGCCTTGTAACATGCAATAGGATCTTGAAAACTGAAACACCAACCTGAAATATTTTTCATGAACAAAATTAGAATATATTATTAAACATAACGACAACAACAACAGACCCAGTGTGATCCCACAAGTGGGGTCTGGGAAGGGTAGTATGTACGCAGACCTTACCCCTACCTTTTAGAAGGCAGAGAGGCTGTTTCCGAAAGACTCTCAACTTAGGATATATTATTAAACATGAGAAGTAGAAATTTCAAGGCATCCGAGTATGTTAAGATTTATGAGGAGAAGCTTACTGCAATTGCTAGGCCAAGAGGCACTGAGATGAAAAGGACACCAAAAAAGGAAGACAAGCAAGCCACAAAATCTAGTTTGTCAACTTTCCATAAACGGAATGCAGCTTGATAATCAATTAGGCCGATCACTGCTGTTATGATAATAGCTGCCAAGATGAGGTTAGGGGTGTAATGGAACAGCGGCATCAGAAACAGCAGGGTGATAAGCACAGTTGCCGCCATTATTATATTTGAAACGACAGTTTTTGCTCCAGCATTGTAATTTACAGCAGATCGAGAAAATGATCCTGCAAAATTGAATTTTTAGTTGGAATAATAGAAAGAGGAAACTTAGCAAGTTTTAGTTACAACTAAGAATAAGAGTGTTGCTTCGGTTGTACCTGTAGTGACAAAGCAGGAAGCACAAGAGCCAGCCATGTTCATAAGTCCGATAGCTATCATTTCTTTGTTACCATCAACTTGGTAATTTTGCATAGCAGCAAATGTCCTTCCTACCGCTATCCCTTCCTGCAGGGCTATGTCGATAAAAAATCTCCTCCTTTTCTTTCTTTGAGGAATAAAATGCTGGTAGTAGTAGTTAGTATTCACTTACTGTGAGCGATAAGACTCCAGTTATAATGCCAGTTTTGATAGCAAGAGCGAGATGAGGGCCACTAAAATGTAACATGTTCAGTGATGGTGGATTTATCCCCTTTGGTAGGTGTCCAATCTACAACAAAAGAATCTTTAGTCTTTTCCGTCTAAATATAATGGATGAAACTAGAAATGATGCATGTTACTCACAGTCTGAATAGTCTTGGATTTAAGTAGGAAAACTATGATAGTTGAGAGAATAACGGATACTAACGGAGCTGCTGCTGAAATCCAGAAAAGTTTCGGTTTCCTAGTACTCTGTCATTAATTAGAAAACGATCAACAAGGAGATGAACATGAAGCAAAACTTTCTCATTCACATAAACCAAAAACTTACGATTTGCCTTGTCGCCAGCAAGAAGATGAGAAAACTAACACCCATAACAATGGTTTGCCAAGACCACTGCGAAAAGATGTTGCAGAGTTACAACGACAATTTTATGCCTTAAATATTACTCAGAAGAGCACAATATTGGAGGAAACTTCTAACCTCATCTTTGTGAGTGAAAACAGAAGACAAAACAGGAACTATTTGCATCTGGTTTGTGAAGTGAGATATCCCCAGCAATCCTTTCAGTTGTTGCAAAGAGACAATGACCGCTGCACCAGCCATGAACCCTAGTAGAGTCGCCTTCGAGAGAAAATCAATGATGAATCCTAACCTGCAAGTCATGGAATTTAAGTCAATTTCCTTATGATTAAACTGCAGTAAATTCAGCAGAACACAATGATTCGTAGATCATAAGAGCAAATCAGTTTGAGTATGTCGAGCTAATCTTATGTGTGACAATCAAGTAATTCACTTTACAACTATAGATTGTTATAACATACAAAGTCACAAGTGAAAATCAAACAGTTTCATGACCTCTTCCAGCGGAAACCAAATTCTCCTGATTTATTGATTGATTCATGGTCAGTAAAAATCTGAGGAGAATATTTTACAAAATGTACTTACTGCTTTACTGGTTAATTGAGATTCTGAAAAGTGCAGGGAAATATCTCTAGTGTCAGTTTGTCAACCTTGGAATCAACAACCTTTTCCTTTCTATTCTATTCAAAATCATCTGTACCTTTTTTTTTCTCTTTTCATTCTCAGCAAAAGTTCCCAATGATTTTTTGGTATATCTTTTCCTAAAAGTTTGTTTCCACTTTGCTATCTGCTACATTATAGCATTAACTTTAGTTAACAGTAACACTGATAGTGGAATGAAAAAAATTTCTGGAATAATTCTATTCTTTATGAGGTAAAGAAAATGAGAAAAAGTACTTAGTGTAACACTGTTTACACACAACAAAAAAATGTAATAGAAATGTTCATGAACAGAGTAGTAAACCTGAAAAATCCCAATGAAGCTTGCAACAATCCAGCAAAAAGTGTTGCTGTGAAAGCAAGTTGAAGGTATAGAATTGGCTCTTGGCTGTATGAAACTGCTTGGCTTAACATTGTTCCCATCACTAGTGAGGCTATAGATACTGGACCAACTGCTAAATGTCTTGAACTTCCCAAAATTGAATAGATTAATGGTGGCACAAAGCTTGAATCTGTGTCAACAAAAATCCATATCACCTTCTATTAATTACTACTCCATAATTTAGTTAACACTACAAGAAATGAAATTTTTAGTGACGACTCTACGTGTCAATAACCTTAGTTGCCACAAAAGTAAGGGTTCCATGCACGAGCAAAAGAAGGAATTATGTTAAAGGCATTCAAGATTTTATATATACATGTTTAAATAGTCATATTTGACATATATACACAGTATAATTTTTTTGATGAATGTTGTTCAGTTTACTACCCCTAAACGGTGCAAATAGTGATAGTTTTAGTGGCGAGCATATTTTGCGTTAACACTACTAGAAAATGAGAATTTTTCATGGCGACTTTATGCGACCATTGCCTTAGTCGTCACAAAAAGTAAAGTAAGGGTTGGCGAACCAAAGGAATTTCGTTAGGGTGAACGTCATATTTAGCATACAACAACAACAACAACCCAGTATAATTCCACTAGTGAGGTCTGGGGAGGGTAGTGTATATGCAGATCTTACCTTGATATCCCTCCCTCCAAGAACTCCCCACCTTGCTCTTAGGGTGACTCGAACTCACAACCTCTTGGTTGGAAGTGGAGGGTGCTCACCCTCGCCAATTATATTAAGCATCTATATACTATATAATTTTCTAGCGAAGACTGTTCAATTGACCACCTTGTTTTAGTGGCGACCATCATAGAGAAAGAAGAAAAAGAAAGATAAAAAGAGTGGCACTTACATAACCCAATAATGGGAGGCAAATTAGCAAGTTTAGCATAACTAATTCCTTGAGGGATAGCAAGGCTAGCAATGGTGAGGCCAGAGATTACATCAGACCTTAAAAGTTTGAAACTGTACAGAGGACCCCATTCAAAAACAGGGAAGAAAAACTGAAGACCCAAAACAAATTTCCTCAACCCCGTTTGGTTCTTGAACTTATGAAGTGGATCGTCGGGAAAGAAAATCTCCGACAACCGTTGCCGGAGTTTCTGAAAAGTGGTTCTGTACGGTGGCAAACAAACCTTATGTACACCTGAGGATTGCATTGACGACGACGTCGCCGCCTCAGTTTCTGTTGCATTGCATGACGAATCTTCCACTTTTATAGAATTTAATGTCATTTTTTTTTTACAGGAAATTTGGTTCAAGAACGATAAGAAGTTGGGGCATGAGTTTGGGGTAGTTTCTGATTTGGATCAAAGACGAAGGAATCAGTTAATAACAAGCAGTTGATCTTTTGGTTGTTTGAATGGAAAAGGACACACTCCCATTTTTATAGGGGAAAAGTTTAATCTCACCCAAACATTAGAGAAAATATACTACTGTAGTTAAAATAGTGGGGATAATTAAAATAATTGGATAAAATGGGAAGTGATAATTTTCTTTAGCACTTTTATTTATTAATAATTAAACGAGAATTAACATAATGGGCTAACCCTTTATTTTTATCCACTTAAATACTGTATAGAATTTTATCTGCAACAGAGTTCGAACATATAACGTGTACCTATAGATGGTGTTTAACGATCTTACATTATGATTTGAGATTCTATGACTTCAATTTCTTAACTTTTACCTACCATTTATTTATAAAAAAAAAATTAAAAAAGGATAACGTTTCAGATTTAGTTGAGATTATTTTTTTTCTTCAAAATAGAAAGTAGCAAATGTAGGCATGTAGCATACCAATGTAATTATTTTGGGTATTATAATTTTACTATATATATATATATATATATACTCCCTTTGTTCACTTTTAACTGTCCACTTTGGACTTTTAATGCCCTTTAAGAAATAATAAATAAATATGTATTTTATAATTTTACCCATAATAATGATAGTATTTTCAAAAGTCTTGAAGAATGAGTAATTAATGATTAGGGTAAAACAAGAAAAAAAGATTGTCTTTCTCTTGATTTAGTATAGTGGATAAGTAAAAGATAGCAGTAATTATAGCGATGCAGATTCGTATAGCCAATTTCACCTAAATAAAAGATAGTAACAATTATAGGAGTCGTAGGTTAGCATTTTCTATGATGAATCGTTTTTTTTTTAGTAGTAAAAGGATTTATATATTACATACTAGATAGAGTTTTGCATATTACATGCGAAAGTGACATTGGGGTTGTGTATCCCCTCAGACAAACAACTATTGTCACTCACAATATTTTGATTTCCTAGAGTCCTAAGTATATATATTACATAAAGAGAGGTGATTGTTTTGACGAGTAGTATTTCTCGCTCATGTTGTTGATTAGAAGTTGTTGCACAAAAATCGGTGGTTGAGCAAACAGTTTTGTTCTTCCAGGATTATATTGATTGTTTTTTTGGTTTTTTGCTTCCTTGGCTAGTGCACCAGCTACTGCATTCCTTGCCTGAAATTATGTCGTAGAAGAAGGCCCCTCTCTTGATGCATTAATGACCTGCAAGAGTATATCAAATTAGCTAGTAGTGTATGGCCATTGTTAATAGCGTTGATCACTTCTGTTGAGTCTGTTTCCACTGCCGATGGGTATAGATCAAACCTTGAAGCCAATTGTAGCCCCTCTTGGAGAGCCTACAATTCAATGTGTAACGGAAATAGAGCATTACAGTATTTGTGGAAATCTAAAATCCATTTCCCCGTACTGTCCCTAAACACTCCTCCTATATCTCCTTTTGCATTATCGGATGCTCCATCTATATTAAGTTTTGTCCATCCTTTTTGTGGGGTATGCCATTTAATTTGAATGGTTTTGCTGGTCCGTAAGGGAGTGTTTTTGGATGTCATGAAGTGAAATTCTAGTGCATGATTAAAAAAATCTCAAGGATGGGTGAAGATTGGTATTGTTGGTGTTATTATAATTTCTGTTGATCCAGATTCCCTAAATTAAAAAGGGCAGGAGATCAGACCATTCGATGAATCGTTTGAATATAGCTTGAGCATAACAAAATTTATAGCGATGCAGATTCGTATAGCCAATTTCACCTTATTTAGAATTGAGACATTTTTATATTTTGAGTTGTCGCATTCGTGTATTTGAATTGGGACCTTTTTTAAAAGCTATCGATATAGATTTGATTGAAATTTGGGAAAAAGAGTTTTTGAAGTTATGTTGAAAAATCTATATCTGTATATTATTAAAAGAAGAGGAAAAAATCCTCTCCTTAAGCCAAGTAGCATCCTAGAAAAAGCCACATGGCATAAGTAGTTAATAATTAGTTATTGGTTATTGTTTTTGAATTTAAAATATCCATAAAATAATAAAATAAAGTATTTTATAATTGAAAAACAAAATTTTAAAAAAAAATGTCCGTTCAAAATTGGATAAAAGTTTCAATTTGGAGTTTTTAAATTATTTTAAAATAAAAAATAAAATTATAAATAATACTTAAAAACTGCCATTTCAATTTTTTTTTAAATAATTTTTCTTTTTCTTTTTAAGATAAAAAGTTTATTTATTCAAAAAATAAAATCATGTACGAGATATGAGAAACAGTTTCATGTCCTGCTTCTTAACTGATATCTAATGATTATATGTAATTTTTATCTGGTAGGTTTAAATTTTAAGGTAATTAATATATAATCCGAATACCACAAATTATAATTTGATTTTTGTGTCCGGCATCCCGCGGGTACTAATACAAGTATTTTTTAAAGATTGAAGTTGTGTTTGGACATGCATTTTATTAGAAGAAAAGTTGAAGTTTTGAGAGTGAAGAAAAAATTTTACCCAAAAACTGAACTTGGAAATTTTCGATTTTTTCCCCCAAAACATGATCATATTTCATAAACAAACAATATTTTTAAAATTATTTTGAAAACAATGAAGCCAAAATCTATGACCAAACGGGGGCTATTTTGAGTTGATACAATATTTGACATTTTTGCCTCGTACTTAGTGAAATAGGTGAGAACCATGAGAGACTAGGACTCATATTTGAGAGGAGACAAAAAATACTAGTTAGGTGATTCTTCTAGTCTGATAAGTTTTAGTGGGTAATAGGTGCCTAGAGAATAGTCCGGTGCGAGTTCAAGTAGCCACGTCACTATTTTTATATATGCACGCAATGTACGTACCCACGTGTTCCTGTAAAGTTGAACGACCGTTTACCTTTCAATCAAATGTTGCTCCTATGATACTTTTGTATAATGAAGAAAGTACTAGAACAAACCTAAGAAAAAATTACTAGAGTAGATCTACTACCTAAACATATTTAAAACGATTATCATTTTCGAACTTGAAATTTTTTGTAGTTTTTATATCGTAGCGCAAACATTTTTGAACAATACTTATGTTATTTTTAAAAGTTTATTCTCCTTAATACGAGAGACATGCACAACACGCGTATTACTAAATACACTAATTTTAACAAACATTAAATTATGAATTCATAATTTCTTATATGAAATAAATTCTTAAAATTCAATCTTATCAATTTTAGATTTTGAAGTCGGCTCTATTCCTTCACATCTTGACGAAGTTTCTCAAACCGACCATTCTTTTTGTTGAAATATATTCTCATTAGATTTTCTTTTGGTTCTCAACTTCTAGAAACTAAGTTGGCCATACAAAATTCAGATGCTTCTGAAAAATTTTAAGTTGTGCAAAACTTTATATTTGAAGCCTTTATTGCTAAAAATATGAATATCAGTCCCAAATGGGGAGGCATGCGTTTGAATAACGTTAATACAAATCTGGAATCAGCACTTATTCTGTTCATAAATATATAGTAATGCAATTAAATTTATACTCCTATTGTAGGTGAGGCTACTGCCATGTGCACCTATTCTTTTTGTGCCTTTAATTATAAATGATATATATATTAATAAAGACTCGACAAAAAAGGAGAGAAAAGATACGTGAAGATTTAATTTACGCTTTAATGCTTGATTAAAATATCGTAGGATATATACACATTTATCTGTACTATAACATGTTAATTTCATATAACAATTCAAAGACCGTAAAGGGAATGAAAAAAGATGGAAAATAAGTTGTTAAGCAAATGAATCTAGGGCCTAATCAAATTAGTGATGATTAATTATTTTTCAAGATTATGTAATTTGAGATAATATCTCATTTTCTCATGCCTAGAATTGGAGGACGAGTTAACCTGAAAATTTGATTTTGGGTTAATCAACCCCAAAAGTTAACTCATGAGGTGATTGAGAAAATAATTACTCGTTTCCTCGACCAATGTGGCACACTGAAATTAGATTCAGAAGTGGCAATAGAGGCCATATTTTAATTTGGTCCATCCATGGTGGATTCTTGAAACAGTGTTTATGATTTATAACTGTCTTGTCTTCTTCAAAAAATTGAGGATTTTACAAAGAGATCGATAGCATCTATCACCATCCGTTCAGGGCGAAGCTAGAGTACCGAGAGCGGGTTCGGTCGAACTTATTAACTTTGGTTCGAATCTTGTATTTGTCTTAAAATTTTTATTGAATATGAATAAATTATTAATGTAGAATCCAGTAACTTAAAAAAATTAGAATCCCAAACCCACAAGCTTGAAATCCCGGCTCCGCCTCTACATTCGCCGCATATAAATTGTTAAACACTGCTAGTCGTTGTCCCCGTTATTTATGGTACTTCGAAATGATAAAGAGACAAGTATATACAAAGTATTCAATTAATAACATATAGTACCAAAGATTAAAAGAATCAGCCGATGCAAAGATTTATTCTTCTGTCAATCAAATTAATGTGGCTTAATTCTTTTATTTTATCAAGAGGAGAATCATCTGCATTGTGCGATGAAAGCTTTTGACCTCCAAATTCCAATATTATTCTCCACTACTTACAAGAAGAAAAGATAGATATTTAAAACATGACTAGTCGACATGGAATAGAATTCTTAATTAAGAATAATAAAAGACTCTACTGCTTATAATTTAAATTTGAAACGAATATTTTATTAGACGGAATGATTGAATTGCTAAGCACAAAAAGGGACTTGGTGATCAGTAAGATTATGCATTTACAAGGGGCGAATCTACTGTGCTTATTACGGCTTGCGGGATTACATGAACCCAGTAATTTTTGTCCAAACTCTATATATAACTAAGATATTTACGAAATATCTATAATTATTAACCTAGTTATAATTGTAATATAAACTTAACGCCACTGATGAACCAATAAACTTCATATTCTGAATCTGTATTTATAAGTTACTCCTACATGTTATATTATAGAAAGAAAGAAAGATGCTAAAGAAGCCAAAAACTTTCAGTTGCAATTAACTGGAAGATTATTGTGT